AATTTAATAATTACCATTAAATTCTGCTAAACTGTTCTTAAAGTCTAATAAAAAATTAACAATAATCATTAAATTTATGTTGATTTTTCTAAAATAGAAATTTTAGTTGATAAATTGTGTCAATATTTTTTTTAGATGACAATTCAATTAATCCAATAATTTTAGTGAATAATTTACATTTTTTACCATTTAATAACACGTCATACTTAATTTATGTTACATCAGCCTTGTAAGCTTTTATGCATAGCATTACCAATTTATTAAGGAGAATAACAAATTCTAGTTACACAACTCTTGCACAACTCATTGAAGGTAACCTTCAGCGGTTTTAATTTTTAATTTCAACATCTAATAAGATAAAATTATTTTTTATCAATTAAATTTAAAATTTTTAATATTTTTAAAATTGATATTTTACAATTTTATTGTCCATAACATTCCCGCCGGCCATAGCTGTCCCTAGTACTTAGGTATCGCTGGCAAGTACTTTCAAAAAATTTGTTTGCCAATCAGATTTGACACTTGGAGTGTTTTTTATAATGATTTAATCATATCAGTCCGACCGGTCCGCACTGGTTTACGGCATCCCGTTTTGATGTTGGTTATCTTGTTCTGGAAATAGATCGGAGCCGTTTGATGAGGAATCGTTTGATGAGTGGGTGGATTTAGCGGATGCGCCGGCCTTACCGGCGAGTTTGAATCTGTATAATCAGGTGAAGGAGATGGGATTCAAGATATTCCTCTTAACTGGACGGAGTGAAGATCAGAGGAATGCCACGATAAAAAATCTTCTGTTTGCAGGATACAGTGACTGGGAAAGACTTATATTGAGGTAGACATTACTCAATTCTCTTATAAAGTTTTACTGGCAATTTTGATGTTTCTCTTATAAACCCATGTTTTGAAAGTTTAAATTATACATACACTTGTGGTTTATCCAGTTCAGATTAATCAAACTCATTTATGTAAATGGCTGAGAAATTGTGAACTAAAGCAGCTTCGATTCTTTCTTATATATACACTTGTGGTTCATCTAGTACACAGATTAATCAAACTCTTTTATGTACATGGCTGAGAAGGTGAGAAATCATCGTTTTAGTACACGAGGAAGTTGGTCTGTATTTGATTTCAAAATGGTTTTAAAGTTTGTAAGTATCATTGAAAGCTTTAAAAAGAGAGATAAGAGATGCATAAGTGAAGTGACTCTAAAATCTTTTATTCCTGTTCCGGTTTTATTGAGATTGTGATTATTAGTTTGAGAATGGCTTATAGAAATAAAATGGGTTGTGGTTACTGGTTACAGAGGAACTTCAGATCAAGGGAAACTGGCCATTGTCTACAAATCTGAGAAGAGGTCAGAGCTGGTGAATGAAGGTTACAGGATTCGTGGGAGCTCTGGAGATCAGTGGAGTGATTTGCTGGGTTTTGCAGTGGCTGAAAGGTCTTTTAAACTGCCAAACCCAATGTATTTCATTGCCTAAACAAACATTCTTGCCAATCCTGTAATCTTAATGTTGTATAACCTTGTTTCATCTAAACTGATTCTGATTTCCTCCCATCGCAGTTCCTTGCACTTACTTCATGAATAAATTATGTTCATTTACTATCAGTAATGAGTTTTTGAGTGCCTGTTTGGCCTAACTGTATAAATTTCCCACAGAATAAGTTATCGCTTTGCTGCCTAATCAAAACAGTTTTTAAGCTTCTAGTTCTTTTAGTGGTCAATTTAAGCTTTTAGAGAATTCGAAACTGAAGCTGCAAATTTCTAGTTTTTGTAGTCGAGCTTTTAGCAATAGACTTTTTTAGTTTAATGGAAATTATTAACTTTAGATATCTACAAATTCTTGGAAAGTATCTACTTTCTACATACACTTCAGTAACTCAGTTAGGCCAAACAGGATTTAAGCCTTGGACGGTTGGACCACATAGGCATGGCAATGCAAGTTGCAAATTATTGTCTTTGTAATGATATAGTAGAATTTAGACCGGCAGATAGACTCATAAATTTTTTTCTCCAGTAGCTTGGGATTGTCTTATCCTTTGAAAGACAGATATAGTAGACCCAAAAAGAGGACTGTGGAAGCTCTAGCTCATAACTGCTATTAGTAAATGTGATATAGCCATCACTAACCTGTGGTACACTGCTACCGATGTGCTTTCTCATGGAGATGAAGGTGTTGAGCTTAGATTAGCCTCCATGTTCCCCATCAGTGCCCCACAAATTAGAGGCTGACCTCCAGGGATTCTCAGGCAATTCAACCCAATGCCGGGAATTCCAGAGCATTCGGGCTGTGGTCTTTGCATTTGCCTCCCTGGAATGCAATTGGAGGAGAAATCAAACCCCACATTCCTGAAAATCAGCTTGGTGCAATCCTGGCTAAACCCAGAAAGGAAATTGTAGGCCACAGTCAAATTCACCAGGCTCCTCAGGGAACAGACCAGTTCTGGCAGCACCCCAGATAGCCGGTTGTGTGCTAAATTGAGAACCTCTATTTCGTTCAGGCAGGATATTGTGTCCGGCAAATGACCCATGAGCGAGTTGTAGCTCACATCAAAAACCTGCATCTCTGTGAACAATCCAATCCCCTCTGGAATGCAGCCGGTTAACTGGTTGTTCAGAAATAGAATCTCCTTTAATTTAGAACTCATGAAGCCCAAACTCGACGGAATGTTTCCTGTAAACTTGTTGTTGGCCAAATTGATCACAGAAGCCGGAGAATTACCCAGATTGTATGGAATTTGACCCCCAAACTGGTTGTTGTTGAGAAAAATTGCATCGAGTTTCTTGTTGAAGAGATCCCCCGGCAGTGGGCCGGTGAAACTGTTGAATCGGAGGTCTAAGTAAACGAGATTAGGAATGTACAAGGTTACTATCGGGAATGGACCCGAGAACTGGTTGTTACTGAGGTCTAACTCTTGAAGAGCTAAGAGGTCCTTGAAAGTGTCCGGAACTGTGCCGGCAAACCTGTTGCTGTTGAGGTGGAGAAGAGACATGTCCGTGAGCAGAGACAGTTCCTCAACAAGAGTTCCTCGGAGATTTGCGTAGTTGAGATCCACGCCGGAAACAAATGGACCCATTCCATCTTGAGCATCTGCGCAAAAAACTCCTCTGTAAGAACACACATCGGAGCCAACCCATGTCTTCATAATCATCAATGGGTCCTCTGTAATCGCCGATTTCCATGCCTGCAGAGCAGAGTAAGCACTGTTGAGGTCTGATCTCGAAGACCCAGATGGAGGTGGAACATTGACTCCCCCACCAATCCAAACCCTTCCACCACCATTGCCAATGTTGACGCCAATCCCACCACCCACACTGATAGCAGCTTCTGTTAGTAGTACCTGCAGCAAGAGCACAAAAGCCAAGAGCCAGCAGGTCCTCTCCATTCTCAATGCTGCAGCCTGGAGACACCAGGATGCTAAATTTGATGGGGCTGTTTGTAAGGTTGTGCAAATTTGTTCACAGGCTTACAGGATAGCCACCTATTGAGATTGATGGGAGAGGAAAGTGGTGGGGTTAATCGCTCCTTCTACCATGTACCTTTGTAATTTTTTACACCTCCGTCTTTACTTTTTGAGTTTCTTGAGTTGTGTCCTCCGTACACATTAAAAATATATTTATTATTAATTATATAATATAATAAAATTTATTTTAATTATAATAATTGTTTAATTAAAATTTTTATGTAATATTAATATTAAAATAAAATTTTTTTATTTTTATAATTTTTTTATATTAATTAATATTAATAAAATATAATAAATATTCTTTTAATTTATATTTATTAGACATATGTCTAATAGCCAAGCATTTTACCTTTTTTTTTTCGGTTTCCCGTCCAGTATCCGGGGCTTCGTTCCGACTAATCCGGACCTGACCCGCGTCGCGCACCTGAAAATGGTAGGTGAGTCTCCCAGCGAGGGCTGCTGCATTCACAAGGACTCGAACTCAAGATCTTGTTTAAACTGGAACAAACCGTTTACCACTTGATCCAACCCCTCGTTGGTAGCATTTTACCATTTTACCTTTTATGATTTAAGTCTTTTGGGCTATTGACATGACTACACAAATTATTGTTTTTTTTTAATAGAAGGAAAATAATTATCGTTAAAGTCA